TGGAGGAACAAAGAATTAAGAAAGGCAAAAAGGGGAGGAGTCGTTATCTGGTCATTTTCTTCAAGTCTCAAGAAAGTTTCATGTCACTGTACAATATCAAGTTTTTTTGGTCTCTTCCAAGTCACATTTCAAAACAATGTTACAAGTCAAGTGTCATGTTGGAAAATTTTTACTTCAAGTATTAAAAATTGACCAAGCACCGTCAAATTCCAAGGAATACATCTGGCTGTCCAATCAAAAGGGTCTTGAATTACATCAGATGCAATGAAATATGTTGATGACTTTCCAACTCAATGCAAAATTCAGTTTGTGGGAAAAAAAGTCGAGTGAGAAGAACACGTATAACTTCAATAATTGGCAACAAGTGAATAATTACGAATTTGTAATGATTGTAATTTGCTTCCACTTGTTCTAACAAATCGTTTATAATTCTTTGGAGAAAACTTCTTAAATAAATGTGCATTGGTACGGCTGCCCAAACCATTTTGAGTACAAAAAAAGTTTGATAGCAAATTAATAGGATTTGAGTGACAAGTTCCTCACCGATGTTTCGGTTGACTCTGACATAATGAAAATTTGAATGTAAAGCTTTACACTTAATATTGACTGTGTAGATACACGAAGGATCTCATCAACAAAATCCAATGATTGGAGGAAATACTCTTTAAACTGTACAGCCAAGTGTATTTCTTGAAGTGCAACGTTACCTGTTTACTCTAAACACTTGAAGTAAAAACACGCCAACATGAAGCTGGACTTGTGACATTGTTATGATTTGAAACTGACCAAAAAACCTTGAAATTTGACAACCACAAATCATACATGTACATGTTTGCAGCGCCGGGATTTACATATGTAAATAAACTGACCCCCCCAAAATTGACACTTAATGCAGCCCTTTGCCAAGTATTTTTATTGTTTGTTTGGGTGGCCAAGATATACAGCGCCAGGATTTGAAAGCGGTATAAATTGACAACAAAAACTGACAAACTTGTTACCTTTTTTGTTTTTTATTGCTGCTGTAATTTTTGTGACGGCATGCGTGAAAATGAGCTAACACCCACATGGGTTGATGCATGTACATGTAAGAAGTGACATGAAACATTCTTGAGACAAGAAGAAAATGACTTGATAACAACTCACCCCTTTCTAACCTTCCTGAATTCATTGCTCCGCCGGTCACAAGTACAACCAATGTAACATTGATGCAACCCACCAACCTGCGCTGTGTTCCTAATGGCCACCGGCACGCGCAGCAAAGTGGAGCAGGTGCACGCCGACCTCTTCTGGTCCCTGTACCTCTGCTGATGGTAGCACGATGAGGGTAGACTGTTGTGGCTGTGCCGGGAACTACTGGATTTCTAAAAGCAATTAAAAAATAAATGGAATTATATATTATACATAATGCTTTGAGAATGAAGTACATGTCAGGAAGAGTTCTGGATACACGGACATGGTACAATACATCATCATAAGCCTTTTCGCAAATATTGCATGGATGATTTTCCACAATGGTACAACGACATTGTGAGAAGGAAAAAGTACCAAACATTGCCCCTTTTTCCTTCCACAATATCTTTCTGCCATTGTGCAAAATCACCCATGCAGTATTTGCGATAAGGCTCAATTATGAGTCAAATTCATCAGGAAAAATACTGAAGCATTCAGTTGGAAAAATACACTAAGCATTTCTGAGACCACTCTCACAGATTTCGTGCACAGGGTGTCAAGTGATGTCTGTGTGTGGGAACTCTTTCCCACATGTACATGTACATGCACAACAGGTCTAAAACTTGTCACTGCAATTTTTGTTATACATTATTACAAAGACACTGAAGATGCAAAAGAAACTATTAATGTGAACTTCAAAAACCTGTAATTCCCCGAATAAACTGAGATGCACAAACCAGAAGGACAATTTGTCGGTGTTAAAGCTTTTCTACCAGTATCTGCTCAGTTCAGATCAAACACCAGGTACATTGTACATGTACACTGTATGTGGGTTATTCCAGAAATTTGGGGTCCATTTTTTGTGTCCCTGTCTTATCTGACATGATTTTGTAAACACAGAACACATTTGCTAATTTCCAAGAGTGATAAATTTATGCAAATTACCTGCCAAACATATAGTAATAGTTTGAATGCAATTCCGGTGATATTTCCATGTCAGATGACAAATGTCAGACGTAACAGAAACATGAAAATGTCACACTTTTGGACCCCTAATTTCTGGAATTACCCATGTCTTTTCCTTCCTCCATGAGGCACTACATGTGTTGGCTTTTTGGATGCTGCTTTTTCACCATTGAAGAACCTGCACCTTATTATGTAACAAGCCAAAGACCTGAAGAAAGAGCATTGCCCAAACATTGTCTGCAACCAGCTTGACAGCCCTCATTAGACATGCAGGTCAAATTTTGAATTTGAGTAGAGGAAGAGGTCACTGGACATGCTCAATCCTGCCAGCAAATGCCTGCTTTTGCAGTTGACACATTTGGTAACCATGAATGCTGTAAGGTGCAGATAACTATATCAAAAAATGTTTTGGCGGGTCGGGTGGTGGGTGAGTGAGTGAACAAGTTGGAGCAAAAAAAGGAAAGAAATAAAAAAAAAATAAATAAATAAAAATGAAAAAATGCCGAAAGCAAGCCTTTCCCCCTTTTTGGGAAGGATTAAAAACTGCAGTGCCTAATTTTTAAAAAGTTGAAGCCTTCTGCAACAATCACATAGCATTTAGTTTAAAATAAAGCACCATTTTTCTGACCAACTTTAAAGCTTTTTCAGATTACAAGGATGAGATTAGGGGATGAGAAATTCACAAAATACTCTGTAGAAGGGTTGTCACAGTCACCGCACAAACGCTACGAAATCTCAGTTGTCTTGGATATAATGATGTGACTTTTTTTTAGTTTTATTTCTTTTATGATGTTCATTTACTGGCAAGGAGAAACACTTTCACTGTGGTACAATGCCGATACAACGAACACAATGGGGTCCACATAAAATGTTCACTTTAGGGTTTGGTATACATGTGCATGTAGCAATGTTCATTTCCTTTCATTCCATAAGCTCCAGGCTCCTGCCCTTTCAAATGTGGTGACCCGCCTCACAAATACATGTACATATGCATGATGATTTTTAGCCAGCACTTAAAAAAAAAGTTGAAGTTGAAAATAAATGCATGAAACACAACAATTGTTGCATTTTGTTCAATGTACGACGTGTATTCTTTTCTTTGCATGGTTCAGTTTGGGTGTATAGTTTTCACTGGAAGTTCCGATCGTGAAGTGAAATCAAATTTTCCTTGAGTCACTGCTTGAAAATTTCAGACATCATGCGGTGACAAATACAACAGTTCCTGCTGCTACGCAGTACATTGCAACTGTAAAAAATGGGCCGAAAACCATTTTGAAGTTGGCAAAGTTATGAATGGTTATAGTTTGGGCAAGTGTGGTTGGAACAATCAAAACTAGCTGAACATTTACCAACGATTTCCGCGAGGCAAGTCATCAAAGCTAAGCTGTCTACTTGTATGCATTTTCTGTTTTGATTAAACTTCTTGTAATAAAAAGCCTGGCCATTTTTAGTGATGACAAGAAGCCAGATGTTCTGCACAAATCCTCCAGTTTACTTGAACAACTTTCCGATACATTGTGTACAAGTACTGTGCATTTATACTATTGACCTTTTTCCTGTGATGTCACAATTTTGCTGGACCTATGATGTGTTGTGATGGGAATCTACTTATTCAAAATAAACTAGTCAAACATGCAGCGTTTGCACATAGTACGCGGTTGCAGCTGCCCGTGGGAATATACATGTATGTGATCACTGTGGCCAAGGCGGTCTACACATGGTGGTACTGTGTATAAACATTTAGCGCAATCCAGCTACGTAGGTGAAAAGGTCTCTACCCACAAACAATACTGATCACACTGTGTGTTGGCTATTGTTCCTTTGCCTTTCGGTAAAGTGCACAGAAATTTGGAGACCTAAGCAGAAAGTTTGGAATGCCTGATGGTTCAGTATACCAGTGTGTTCGATGTAGCGGCATTGTGTAACGTGTGCTGTACCTGGGTATCGAATTTTAGGAGCCAGTCACTCTGAACTGCTGGGAGCCAGACTGGTGAAGCAGTGCCCACTTCCATGTACCCTCTAACCCTGTGACCGGCCAACAGGAGGATTGCATGAAGTGAGGGGTCAGAAACATGCACTGAAGTGAACAAAACCTTCAAATTGGCCTGAAGAACTTGTGCTATTAATGGAATGTAAAATCTTACTTTTTCGATAAGTCCAAGAACTTTTGTTCAAAGTGGAGAGGGTATTCCCTTCTGCAGGCATCTAAGAAGACGGTGTCTCTCATCAACCTGAGGGAGAATCAAAGTAACAATCATGCCATTAATATTGTGGCATGTACTGCACCTTTACAAATCTTTCTAACTCACAAACACTTCAGAACTTGCAGACCTTTAAACGATGTCACCCAATAAACCAGCAATTTACGGGTGCCATAAAAAACATGATGCCCAGACTTTCAAAGGTTGCAACAGAAAGGTTTCAAAGGTATCAAGCAGAAACTTTAGTTTCTTTCCTTTTGCTAAAAAGTTTTAAAAGTTTTATCCAGGTTTATCTGATTTGGCCTATACGGGAAGGCCAAGAATCTAGATTGGCAAGGAAAAGCTTTGCATTATTTACAAAGAGTAATAAATTTAAGTTTTATCATCACACGTCACAATTAATGTGGTTCCTTTTGTCCTTTTTCAAACACAAAATGAGACAGTGGATATCAGACTATGAACCAGTCCCCACTCACTTTATCATC